GAGCGAAGGGGTCAGGTTTCCAGAAACCCCTCAGGGTAATCAGAGACTTGGTGGGGTGGGGAGAATGGGTGGCCCCATCACCCCCAGACCGGGAGCGGCACCTGTGACCCCAGCCTCAGCTATGCCCCTATGCAGCCCGCCCAGCCCCAAGGGGCACCTCGTCCAGGACAGTGAAGCCAGCCCTGCGGGGCCGGGCACCTCTCCTGGCCCCTCTGTCCTGGGCGCACGCTCCTCCTGCACCTGGCAGGGGGGTTCGAGGGTCCCTCTGTGGGGCACAGCCCCCACTGTCCTGTGTGACCTGGGCGGGCCGTGTCGCCTCCCCTTGCTCACACGGGCACTGTGCTGGGTGGGGCGTGGGCTCCGACGGTTACTATGTGATGTTGTGATGCGTCACAAGAAGGAAACACTCGGTCTCAGTCCTAGCTCCTGGCACACAGTTCCTAAACCCTTGGGACTCCCTAGGTGGGAAGAGGGAGAACCTCTGTCCTCGGTTCCTGAAACAGGTCCAGAGCCATCAAGATGAAGGCGGCATCTTTTGCTGTTTGTGACGCACCCTTTAGTCCCACCTGTGTTTATGCGAGTGGGGGGACTTTTGGAAAGCCAAGGCCACAGGCTGGGGCTGGCGGCCAGCGGACCCCCGAGGAGGGGCAGGGCTGGGGGTGGGGTTCATCACCAACGGCCAGAGGTGAGGACGCCCCCGGTGGGTGACGGGACGGCTCGGGGATGCGCCCCTCGCACACGCCCTGTCCGCCCCCATCTCTCCCGCTGGCTGTTCCTGAGTTCGATCCTTTGTCATGATCAGGTAAAAAGCACGTAAACCTTTTTCTTGAGTTCTGTGAGCTGCTGGGGGAAGGTTGAGGGAAGTCCTGATTTTTGGCCACTTGGGACAGAAGTGTGGGTGACCTGGGGGCCTGCTCCTGGGGACTGGCGTCTGAGGTGGGGACGTGCACACGCGCGGGGCTGAGCCCTTAACCTGTGGGGTCCGTGCATGACTCTGCGCGGTGTCAGGATTGGGTTAGGTCGCAGGACACCCCGCCGGTGGCCGCCAGGAGCCGGAGAGTCGCTCGTGGGGACCCCTCCCCCAGTCCGGTGTGGCAAGTGTTGGTGTGAGTGTAGAGAGAGACAGAGTCTTCTCTTTCAGTAATATTAATAATAACATATATATAATTATTAATTATTACTACTGTCACCTGCTGACTAGGTTTGATTCCAGACAGGACTGGGAGGTCACCCGAGGCCGCTTGCCCGAGGTCATCTGAGGCCACCCGCCCGAGGTCGCCAGGCAGGAGTTCAGGCCGGGTTCGTCTGCTCCCGGCCCAAGGCCAGCGCCACACCTCGGGGAAGTGGACAAAAGTAACAAACCTCCCTTCTCAGTTACCGCTTCTTTATTTCCACATAAAAATCCCCCAAAGCTCATGGAAATGATGTCTGAACATCATGTCAGTAATCCTAATGAATTGTTTTGTTTTTAAAAACCACAAAATTCGCTGTCGTTAGGATGGGCGTGTGAACTACGACTTAGGACGCATCCCGTGTCCCGGGAGGAAAACCCAGCGTCCCTTTCCGACGAGGTCCGGGGTCCGGGGTCCGCTGCGTTTTGGCCACGACCGCCCCGGAGACACACGCCTTCCGCAAAGCCGCTTCTGAGGTGCGGGCGGCAGCCGGCCCCCTCTGGATGGAGCTGTGCGCTGGGACTTCTCACGCCTGGGGACAGCCCCCGCCCCCGGGGTCTCTCTTGATCCCAGAGGGGCTGCCGCGGCCGAGCTGGGGTCCTGGGTCCCGCCTGCCTGTTGTCTGCGGCTGCTGGTGGTCCGGAGGGGCGGCGGGCCGGCCACGCTGGGCCAGGTGGACCCCGTTGCAATCTCTTGTGCAGCCTGCAGGCTCCTCCGGGGGTGGGGGGCGGGAGGCTGGGGTCTGCTGCTTCCTGTCCCTCTGTCGCCTCCCGGGGCGCTCAGTAACTGGCACGGGGTAGACCGCATCAGTTCCTATCCCTTAGCTTGCAGCCAGGTTCCAGCCTCCGGGCGGCGACTGCGTGCATGAAGGTGGGAGTTTGCAGCTTTGGGGTCCACGTGTTGATCCTGGGGCAGGACAGCCGGCCACCCAGGCCTGGAGTTTGGGGCAGGCCCCAAGCAGATTGGGGGTAGGGTCTCTAGGAGGGCAGCCTGGAAGAGGCCCATCTGCCAGTCTCTGCTGCCTCAGGCTGCAGGTGACACATCTGGGCCCCAACACGGTCCTGTCCTTTATTCGGCATTCGGGAAACACGGCAGAAACACACATTTAAGAGCCCCCCACGCCCCCAGGCGTCCCCACCTTCCTGGGGCAGTGCTGTGCCGCAGAAGATGCGTGCCCAAGCTCGCTCAGAAACTCACCATTTTCCAACGTGGTAGCCTCCGGTGTTTGGGGTGGGACAGTTCCTTGACGTGCAGGACCCTCTCCCGCGCAGCAAAACGTTGGGCATTCCTTTTCCTCGGCACTAAACACCACTGGCTCCTTCCCACTGTTGGAATAACCTCCAAACACCTGACGTCCCAGGTCGAGAGGCATTTGACATTGCCACTGAGGCCAAGAACCTCATACTCAGCACGCATGAATCTTGACCGCTAAGAAGCTAGCTGCAGAGCCGGTAGGAGGGTCCCGGAGAAGGTGCCCAGTCAACTTTCGCTCAGATTTATATAGAGACTCTCAAGATTGGAGGAGACTGCAGAGGACCACATTCTGCAAGCGCTTCCCAGCCTTTTCTTAAATGCCTCCACAGATGGGGAACTCACTACCTCTAGCGGCCACCCGACGGGTGTTTGGGCCGCATTAGAGAAGTCTGTCTTTTGTCCAAGGTCAACTTGCCGCCTTTGACTGCAGGTCCCCACAGCATCCAGGCCACGGGGATTTCCTTTCCCAAGTGAACTTCCAAATACTTAAGCCTGTAATACCCTGTATCTTCCTTCACGCAGTTCAGAGCCCGTTTCCCCTTGGTGGGAGCCTGAGGGGCGCATCCCAACCCTGCAATGGGGGGAATCAGGAAAGTGGGGACACTTCATTCCCTTAGTAGGAGGTATTGACCAGGACTGCCCTGGGGTGTGGCATCCATGTGAGAGGGGCTTGAGAATGTTCTAGATGGGGAGGGGCGGTTTTATAACTGAAGGGCTGGGGTAATTATCGGCAGCTCACTGGTGCTGTGGGCTCCGATGCTCCCAAAGAAGGTGGGTACCAGAAGAGATGGGGGAGCTGGTCAGATGAAAAACCAGGAGGTGGAAGGTTGGGAGGTTCCGGGGGCATGGCACAGGTGGGGGGCTGAGCCTCCAGGCCGGATGCCCAGAGCAGCAGGGGCTCTTCTAGGAGAAAAGGCACAAGAACGAATCCAGATCCGGCCTGGGAGCTGGTGGGCATCGGTGCCTCCAAAGTGGGCCAGGTGACAAGCAAGAGAAGGGTCTTGAATCAGGACTTTGTGCAGTGGGAGGGGGTCTCTGAAGCCATCAAGGACACCCGGGCCATGCCCTGAGCTTCTTGTTCTTCTTGGCCATGAGCTCATGAGCGTGGAAGGATGGAGGGCTGAGAACCGGGTCCTTTTCTGGAACACACTACTACTGCGTTGTTTAAAACAAAACAAAACAAAATATCTTCAAGCAGCTAAAAAGGAGGCTGGGTTTCAGAGATGGATGGAGGAGACTGGCATCTTCCGAAGACGGGGACTCAGGATGAGGCGGGGATGAGGTCCAGGGCCGGAGGGCGTCTGACAGGTTTCTTGGCATCTGGAATCTTCTTCTTGTCCTTCTCTGTATTCTCGTCACCTCAGGACAGGCTAGAGAGGGATGAACACAGGTCAGGTCATTGTTACTGTTTTTAAAGCAAGCGGGGAATGCATCCATGTGCGGAATCCAAGAGCATGATCTAATCCGGCTTTGGGGGTCCTCAGCAGCAAGAGGGGCACCTGCTGCCTGCCACCCACCTTCCAGGTGTGGTTCTGAAGGGGACCGCTCCCTCCGTGCCGTAGCAGGATGGGCCCTGGGGCTGGTGCCTCCAATCAGACCAGAGGGAGGCCTCAAAGCAGCCCCTTGTCCTTCGTCCCTCCATCCGCCATCTATTTACCTACACATCTGTCTGTCCACCCATCCACTGCTTCCTACAGTTTCTTCTTTTGCGTCTTTAATTATTTTATTTTTAAAGATTTTATTCATTTTTAGAGAGAGAAAGAGTGAGGGGAGGAGGGCATCTGGGTGGCTCAGTTGGTTAAGCGACTGCCTTCGGCTCAGGTCATGATCCTGGAGTCCCGGGATCGAGTCCCACATCGGGCTCCCTGCTCGGCGGGGAGTCTGCTTCACCCTCTGACCCTCCTCCCTCTCATACTCTCTCTCTCATTCTCTCTCTCAAATAAATAAATAAAATCTTTAAAAAAAAAAAAAAGAGTGAGGGGAGGAGCAGAGCGGGAGGGACAGGGACAAGCAGACTCTATGCTGAGCGAGGACCCCGATGGGGGGCTCGATCCCAAGACCCTGAGATCATGACCTGAGCCGAAATCAAGAGTCGGACACTTGGGGCGCCTGGGTGGCTCAGTCGTTGAGCGACTGCCTTCAGCTCAGGTCATGGTCCCAGGGTCCTGGGATCGAGCCCCGCATCGGGCTCCCTGCTCAGCGGGGAGCCTGCTTCTCCCTCTGCTGCTCCCCCTGCCTGTGTCTGCTGTCTCTCTGACAAACCCCAACAAACCACAGTTGTAAGCACAACAGCTTTGTCGAGTTCTGTGGGTCCGTCTAGCAAACCTGAACCTGAGGGTGGTCTCCATGACCCCCAACACACAGGCTTTTCCTGGCATCTGGAACAGATGGGGACCCTGAGACTGGCCGTGGGCAAACAGTGTGCCCGTGGCTGAGTAATCCAGCCCGGGCTGGGGGCCCCTGGCTGGCTCAGTCTGTAAAGCACACGACTCTTGATCTCAGGGTCGCAAGTTCAAGCCCCACGTTGGGCATGGAGGCTACTTAAAATTAAAAATAAAAATAAATAGCCGGGCTTTACGGGGCCTGGCTCCGGGCTGGCGTCTCAGTCAGGGCCGCCATGTGGCTTAGCTCTGGGGCCTCATGGCAGTGGCGCCCCCTGGAGTTGTGCAAGAACAGGCTGCCTGCCACAGAGGAGACCCTGGAGTCCCAGTAGCCGATGCCTCTCTGACTCCCCAGACAGTGGATCGTGGGGCGGTTCTCATGTGGCGGGCTCCACGTGGGACATCTGGAAAATCAGGCACCAAGATGGCTCTGCGTCCCACTCACCTCGTCTCCTGATCTTCTGTACCTGGAGCAGATCTGTGGAAGAGAGATGTCTTAGCATGATTTGTCTCTCTGAGGGGCCTTGGCTTTTGGCCGAGAGCCCCACCAGGGCTGACACGGCTTCATCTTCATCTGGTACAAGTAAGGGCTGGCCTGTGTCTGCTGCATAACCAGTGAGCAGGCGGGGTCCAGCGACGAGGGGCCGAGACCACCGAGGTTGCTCAGGGTCCAGGCAGCCCAACCCTCCCGGTGGCGGCGCAAGGGCAGGAGATGGAGGCTATGACGAGGGTCAGATGTAGGAGGAGGGCCAGGCAGGGCAGAGGTGGGTGGTGGGGAGAAGGCTGGAGCCGGGCTGTGTTTTCCACCCATCCCAGGGCGAGGCGCCAGAGGACTTGCTGGGTGTGAAGAAAGAGAAGGGGAGGAGGGGAGGGAACAACGCTTAACGGGTATGGGGTCCCTTCTGGGGTGACGTTCTGGACCTAGAGAGTGGTGCAGGATGCCCAGCTTTGCCAGTGCCCTAAAGGCCCCCGGAAAGTGCACTTAAAAAAACGGTTTGTTGCATGTGAATTTCAGTTCCGTGAAGAAGCCCCCCAGAAAAAGAGAGGGGGGCTGGGGCCAGCCACGCAGGGGCTTGGCCCACGGCCCCGGGCAGGCAGCCGAGCCCCGGAGAGGAGCGGACTTTTACATTTTATCAACTGATAGTTTGTTTATTTATTTTTAAAAACTTTATTTTTTGGGACGCCTGGGTGGCTCAGTCGGTTAAGCCACTGCCTTCGGCTCAGGTCATGATCCTGGAGTCCTGGGATCGAGTCCCATATCGGGCTCCCTGCTCAGTGGAGGGTCTGCTTCTCCCTCTGACCCTCCTCCCTCTCATGCTCTCTGTCTCTTGTTCTCTCTCTCTCAAATAAATAAAATCTAAAAAAATAAATAAATAAAAAAATAAATAAAAACTTTATTTTTTTTGACGTCCTCTCTAAGCCCAACGTGGGGCTCGAACTCACAGCCCTGAGATCAAGAGTCCCACTGTGTACTGACTGAGCCAGCCAGGCGCCCCGACGGTTTCAATGGAACTGCTGGCCTCTGCGGTGTCCCCGTGGGGACGGCCCGGGGTGGAGGGAAGAGGGACCCCGATCCCGAGCACTCACGACGGAGCCGGCATCACGCTGGCCATTCCCACCGCTTTCCCAGTCCCCGTCATGACAGCGCTGTGGTCGCTCTTACCAGCCGTTCGGGGCTCGGCAGCCCCCCCCATGGTCACCCGCACACCCACCTGCCCTCCGCCGGCGCTGCCTCTGGCTTCTCCTCGGACCTGGGCAGGAGGAACTCTGGCTGCGGCCTGGCGCTGGGGACAGAGGGAGACAGAGAGGGTGACGAGGGCGCAGAGATCCCCCGGAGGTTACTGACGGCAGAGGCGGCCATGGGGAAGGGGGCATGAGTGGGGGCAGGACGGGGGAGGAGAGACCCTGAACATTTGTCTCAGCTGGTCATCCCTGACACCTCGTGCCCTCGTCCCGCGGCCCTCGTCGGGCGGACGCTGTCGCCCTGTGCCCTGACTCCGGCTTTCGGGGCCGGTCTCTGTTCCCTCCACAGCTAAGGCTTGGGAGGTCGGGGAGGTGGGCACCATCCGGGGAGGCAGAGGGACAGAGATGGTGAATTTTATGTTGTGTGTATTTTACCACAATAAAACATTAAAAGAGAGAGAAAGACAGGATGGAAGGCAGAGGGGGAGGGGAGGGAGGGTAGAGGCGAAGGCTTGGGCTGGTGCGTCCTGCCGGCCCTGGGCCCCCCGTGCGGCCCACGGCTCGTCATTACTGAAGGACATGGTGCGAGGCTGCCACACCCTCTGTTCCTTATGTGGCTCATCTGCCCACGTCACCCACCCTGCCGCAGGACCCGCTCTCCTTACTTGGTGAGGTGTCCCTCTCCTTTGCCATTCGAGGAGCCCTCTGGACCACGACTCTCTTATCCACCTGTTTCCCCTGAGGCAGGCACAGGGCCTGGCAATGACAGAAAGCCCCAACCCTCTCCCAGACTTGCTGTGTGGCCTTGGGCAGGTGCCTTGCCCTCTCTGAGCCTTGGATCCCCGGGCTGTAAGATGCGGTCAGGAATCCTGGCCCTGCCCTGCTCGGGGGGTGGGGCGGGACTGGAATACTCCCGAGGCTCCCGTGACCGCCATTCGTGGTGATGCCACGGATGAAAACTGAGCCAGAAAGTTAGTGAAGGGGCATTTCTGGGTCTGTCCGGGGTGAGGTTGGAGCTTCTGTCCCCTCTGTCAAGGGACAACTTAATTTTATCATGATTACTACGAGCCACCATTTTTGCTAAGTGGGTCCCACTGTCTTGATTTCTCACGGTAACTGAACTTTTTGCTCGCCTAATGTCACTCTGGGATTCAGTGGGGGAGACCGGATTAGAACCCTCGTCCGATTCAAAGCCCTCAACAGGGCCGTGTGTGTGGATGTCATCGGTCCCTGCTGAGCAGAAGCCACCAGCTGCCCCCCAACTGTGGGCCCCACCCAGCCCCAGCCCTGACTCAGCCCCAATGAGACAGCCCCTCTGCACGGACCTCTCTCTCCTGGCCTTGAGCCTTTCCTCTTCGTACCTGGAAGACAGAAAGTAAAACGCATCAGACACGGCCCTCCTTCCCCGGTCCGTGTGCTGCCCGGGGACTCTCTTTCCTCTTGGGAACGGAGAAACAGTCTCATTCCAGCATCTGGTAGATACGACTCAGTAGATTTCTGGGGGGCCTGATTCAGCACCGGCAACTGCACAGAGCCGTTAGAAAGCATGCTCCTCCAGCAGGGCCGTTTTCTTACAAAAGGCTAGAGAGTAAATATTTTCCACTTTGTAGGCCAGTTTCAGCCACAGCTACTCAAATTCAGATGTAGCTCAGAAGCAGCCCTAGTGGATCCGTTGTCCATGGATGGGCGTGGCTGTGTGCCAATAAAACTTTATTGATAAAACAAGCGGTGGGCCGGGGCTCGCTGGCCCACTTACCCTCTTATCTCACGCGTGCATGTTTCACCGTGTTTCCCTCTGCTCTGCGGCTCCCGCTCGTGTCTGGTTCCCCAGGCATCCGAGAGGGGAGGGAAGGGGTCCGGGGAGGGGGGGCGTGGGGGATGGGGGCGGGGGACACTTACTGAAGCACGCACTCTGGGATTTGCACATGTTCCATGGGGATGAGCTGCTCCAGATCTTCCAAGCTGTGCACATACTGGATCTTGTTGATGAATTTGACGCTAGCAGGAGGAGAAGGAGGGAGAGGTCTGCGGTCTAAGCCCGGAAGGTGTGCTGGCCAACAGGGATGCCCTGAGCACCTTCCATCAAACCTCTGTCCCTGCCCAGGCCAGCCTCTACCCCCGGCCCTCGTGGGGGTGGACAGAGCAGCACCGGGGTCAAGGGAAGGGTCCCTGCCGAGCTTTGTCACCAGCTGCTGCTTCGAACTCATGGTTACTGTTATTATTTTTTTTTAATTTAGTTAAACTAAGTCTGGTAAAATGCAAAATACACTTTCTTTCTTTCTTTTTTTTTTTTTTTTAAAGATTTTATTTATTTATTCATGAGAGAGAGAGGCAGAGGGAGAAGCAGGCTCCCAAGGAGCAGGGAGCCCGATGCGGGACTCGATCCCAGGACCCTGGGATCATGACCTGAGCCGAAGGCAGACGCTTAAGGACTGAGCCACCCAGGCGCCCAGCTTTCTTTCAAGGTCAAATAATGTTTCTAAATGACAGACAGAAGGCCTGGAGAATACAGCACTACAGAAATAATAAAACAATCGAGTAACAGTAAAAAAAAAAAAAGTAAGCTAGAGCCCAACGTCTACAAAAGTGTGCTAAGGCGTTTCCTATCTATTTTTAGAGATGAGATGGAAATTCGGCTCCGGCTTTCCAACGGCTGATGCAAAGGGAGACACGTGATGAATTACACGGTTCACAGTGTCCATTAGGGAAAAAGCAAGCCGTCGCTCGGCAGAAGGCCACTCGTAACTGATTAGGCACGACAGACGTTCCCCATGGAGAGTCACAAAGCGGCCGTGTGCGGCGGAATGAGCAGCACCAACTGCTTTCGTGCAGTTCAAACCACTTTTTTTAATAAGAAGGAAACAAAAAAAGCCAGTTATTCTTGGAGCCCGAGGTCTCCCTCCTGTTGTCATGAGAAGGGCCCGCGGGCAGGGAGTGAGCCTCAGACAGACAGGCTGGAATCGTGTCCACACTACCTGAGTACGTCCGGCCCGGAGGGCTCGCGGGGTGGACCGAGCTGGTTTGTTAGAAAGGATTTTTTTTTTTTTTTTAAAGATTTTATTTATTTATTTGAGACAGAGAGAATGAGAGAGACAGAGAGCACATGAGAGGGGGGAGGGTCAGAGGGAGAAGCAGGCTCCCTGCCGAGCAGGGAGCCCGATGTGGGACTCGATCCCGGGACTCCAGGATCATGACCTGAGCCGAAGGCAGTCGCTCAACCAACTGAGCCACCCAGGCGCCCTGTTAGAAAGGATTTTACGGTGCGCAGAGCCCGCACCTGCTGCCGCCACCTGGTGACGCCCAGCATGCCGGTCCTCGGACACCAATGTCGGAATTGCCACAGTGACAAGGCTCTGTCTGCCTGTGGGGCCGGCTTCCTGTCTCACGGTGGCGGGCCGGTCGGGGGGGGGGGTTCCTGGGAGGCAGAACTCCTCACTGGGGCGAGGGGCGTCCCCAGCCTTCTGATCATCACAGGACAAAGCGGCCTCGTCTTGAGTTGTAATCACACCCTCGGGGCCGCCGGGGGCCCAGAATGGTCTCCGCTTTCCTCGGCTTGTAAATGGGGAGGCTCACTTTTCTCTCCTGCTTCTTTCTTTTGCTTTGAAAGCTCAAATCGAGACCCTCAAAGTTCGCTCGTGGGAAAGCAATCACGGGTGAGAGAGTTATCTGCATTCGAGGCAAATGTCAGTTGCCGGTTAGGGGATACTGAGGACAGCAGAGTGCGCTTCTCTTCGGCTGGGGTGCGTGCTCATCGTTTCGCCCAGGGGGTTCATCGTTACACACACGGCCCGTGATGAGCATACAGACTCCCCTGATTTTACTAGTATGCAAATATTTTAAGGTGCTGCCAAGTCCTTGAACTCAGACAGGCTGAGGTCACCTCCTTGCAAATTGTTCACGCTGAGAGCGTGATCCTTTCAGAGGGTGGACCTTCCCTCAAGCTCGTCACACATCATTAACTGGGAATGTGGACGTGAAGGATCTTTTTTTTTTTTTTTAGGTTTATTTATGTAAGCAATCTCTATACCCGACGTGGGGCTCAAACTCACGACCCCAAGATCAAGAGCTGGACGTGCACTCTACCGCTCAAGCCAGCCAGGCACCCCTTGAAGGATCTCGATTCGATTCAATGAATCATATTAAATTAAATATCGGGTTTATGTGATCGACTAGGGCGTTTCACACGACTAATTTTGTTTTACTTGATCTGTATATCGGGCACTTTTACATCGCTCAGTAAAGGATTAACCCAGCAGGTTGAAGTGCTCAAACCCCACCCATTGCAAAGAAAAAAAACGGATTCCTGACGCTCGTGGGAGGTGGCCAGTAAGCACTTGGAATGCCCTGCCTGCTGAGTGCCCTGGGTACCTGGGCCTTGAGCCCTGCCGCATAGTCTGTGTTAGGGATGTGACCTCTGGTGGGTGCCTTGGGCACATCCCATCAGTGTGACCTCTGGGTCGCCCGAAGACAGAAGCTAAGATCGGCCGCTTGGCTACTCCATCCCCGTGTGGCTACACCCCTGTGAAAACCTTGGAGAGCAAAATGAGCTTGCTGCATGGTGGTACTTCCTCTGTTATTCTTACACATCATCACAGAGATAATTGAGGGCTTTTGCAACCAGTCCGTGGGAGGGGACCCCTTTGTCCTTTCCACCTTCGATCTGCATCCTTCCCCTGTAGCAAACAGTAACAGCTTCTCTGAGTTCTGTGAGTCCTTCCAGTGAATCGTCACAGCTGAGGGTGGTCTCGAGGACCCCCAACACACACGGCTCGTGACATTATTGCTGGGAGGGGCTCAGACCCTCCTGGCATCCTCAGGGTCCCCGCACAGATGCTGGAGTGAACAGAGCTGGGCTCACTTCTGGGGGGACTGTGGTGGCCTAGCGACCTGGCTGCGTGACCTTGGCTGAGTCCCTTGACCCTTCTGAGCCCCAGTTCCCTCCTCCGTGAAATGGGTTCGCGACAGCATCAGCCTCTAAGGTCGTGGTTGTAAACGTGAAAAGGTATCCAGCATTTACTATGGGAGGGCTTCTTGCTAGTATTTTTCCTGTGCTAGTCCCTTAATAACAACACATGGGATTGAAAATGGTTTAAAGCATCAATACAGGGACGCCTAGGTGGCTCAGTCGGTTAAGCGTCTGCCTTTAGCTCAAGTCATGTTCCCAGGGTCCTGGGATCGAGTCCCGCATTGGGCTCCCTGCTCAGCGAGGAGCCTGCTTCTCCCTCTCCCTCTGCCTGATGCTCCCCATGCTTGTGCTCTCTCTCTCTCTCTGACAAATAAATACATAAAACCTTAAAAAAATAATAAAGCAACAATACATATTCATGGTAGAGATGCTGCAAAATACAGATTAAAACAGGAGACGCACATAACCCGGGAAGAGGCCCGGCATAGGGCACAGGGCACAGGGCACAGCGTCGTTACCTGATGAAGGGACGGGAGATGGCCAGCACCGTGCGGATGAACCAGGAGGGGTGCACGATGATGAGGGACTTCAGGTTTTTCCGCAATCTGCAGGGGAAGCAGAGGAAGCAAGCCCCCGGGAGGGAGGAGCTAACAGGGACCGTGTCCCCTGTGCTCCCAGTGGGCGCCCCTGCCCCCTGAGCTCATCTCCAGTCTCCAGGGAGGAGGAGGGGCTGCGAAGCTGGGCCCCATCGCGGAGTCTATGGGCGGCCACCCTGACGTCTAGTCCCGCTGCCACCTCATTCGGAGTCTGAGCTCTTGCCTGCGTGGCCATGCTGCCTCGAATTCCTGGAAGATCTCCCGGGGCGCCTTGGTTCTGACCGCCAGCTGTGGTCATGTCATACTGCATCTCCCCCCAAATTCCTATGTTGTAGTCCTGACCCCCCTGGACCTCAGAACGGGACATTGGAAAATAAGGTCATCACAGACGTATTTCGCTAAAACGAGGTCACACTGGGGCAGGGTGAGCCCTAATCCAATTGCTGGGGTCCTTATAAAGAGGGGGTGTCTGGACACAGACACACGAGGACAGGCCACGTGACCACGGAGGCAGGGATGGGGCGAGGGACGCCGAGGATGGCCGACGACCCCCAGGAGCCGGGAGACACGGGGAACAGACTCCCCCTCACGGCCTCAGAAGGAACCGGCCCTGCCCACACCCCGCTCCTCGGCTTCTGGCCTCCTGAGCCGGGACGGCGAACACGCCTGTGGGTTTCAACCCGCCCGTCTGCGGTCATCGGTTGGCGGGCTGACCACCACGCCGCTTTCCAGGGGGCCCCGGGGCCCTTGCACCCCCAGCGGCCCCGCCCCACCATGCACCTCCTGTCGATCATCTGGTAACACTTCTTCAGCCAGCCGATGCCGGGCATCCTCCGCCGGGGCGTGGCTCCGTTCAGGTAGACGATCATGTAATCCTCGGCCACCAGCAGTTCCAGGCTGCTGATGACGTACCTGGTCACAGGTGCAGGAGACGGGGGGGGGGGGCCCGGTGGGAGGGCCAGAGTTAGGGAGCCCCAGTCCCCGCGACTGAACACCTGTGGCACCTCCTCAGGTGCGGGGTGGGGGGCGTCCTGGCAACTCGGGGTGGGGGTGCAGGTAAAGCCCAGCCCACCCCAAATCAGTGTCAGTGGGCACAACCATTGCAGAATTACAATTTTACGGAGCACTTATTAGGCACCACGTGTTTTATAGGCATGACCTCATCCAGCGTCTCCGCGAATCCTGACAGGTGGATCTCAGAGCCCCAGATCCAGCTGGGGAACACGCACCCCCCAGTGGACAGTCCACTGCAGTGGGCAGGAGGGGTCTGGGGTCCGTCCCTGCCCCGACTCTCCCTGAGCAATTTTAGAAAAATCTTTTCCTCTGTCTCAGCCTCTACTTCCCCCCCGTAAATGGGGGGGATGGGGGGCTCCCTGCTTTCTGGGGCCTCTTCCTGCTCTGACTGGTCATCTCTGAACCACCTGGCAGCCCAGCCCCACCGGGTAAGAGGGAAACCTTCCTAATAACAAACACCGGAGTGATCACGATTTACGGAGGCCCTTTCTGTTACCCTCCAGGTGTCGTGTCTGTCCCCGTCATAACCCAGCTGTAGCAGGGTGTCCCCGGCCAGGTGACGCAACCTCCCCGAGTCTCAGGTGCAGCACTTGCCTACCACCCCTTCCCCTGGGGTCGTGCCGGGGGTGAGGATGGGCGGTTCTTGCAGCCGAGGGAACCGTGGGCGTGGGGCGGGCGGGCCACTTACAGGAAGAGGTTCTCCATGATGTAGTGGTAGTCGGGGGAGCTGCTGTCTGGGAGGAAGCAGGCAGCAAACACGATGATGGCGTTGAGACCTTCGCCGTAGTACCCTGGGGAGAGGCGGCCAGGGAGTGGTTGGCGCTCTGAGTTGGCCCAGGTGCCCACCTCTTCGCCAGCGAGGCCCCTTCCCGAAGGGTACAGCTCTGAGTCGCAGCGCCTTGGCTGGGGGAGTCAGCAAAGCCCTGGGCTGTCCGGCCACCCTCGCAGGCACCCCTGTGTGCGCCCAGCCGTCCGTGCCTGCCCTCCCCGCCCCCGCCCCCGGGGATGAGGACTTAACATCCCTGTGGCTCAGATGAAGAGACTGAGGTTCAGAGAGGGCCTCTGACGGCCTCCAGTTGGGTGGCGGGAGCCAGGCGGAGCCCGACGGGTGCGGTCTCACCTCCGTGGGTCACTACCCTCATGTAGGGCCGGATCATGTGCAGGTCAATTCGGTGTTCTTGTTCTCCAATGATCACTGTCCTCCACAGGCGTCCGTTGGTGGCACCGCCATCCTCTGCTGCACCGTCCCCAAACAGGTCTGCACTGTCCCCGGGCATGTTCTTGGCGGCGGCCACAGGCGTGTCATCTGGAAGCAGGCCAGGGCGAGCAGAAGGGACGCCTGAGTCCAGACGTTCTGTCCCAGCCTCCCACCCGGTACCCCTCTCCCTGCTGTCTGTGGACGTGTGACCCTCATCTTCCTCCCGTGACACTTGGCTATGTACTTCTCCCTGCCCAGAGGCCCTGCTCGTCCATTTGCCCCTCCTACTCTCCCTTCATGGCCCAGCTCAAATGCCACCTTCTCCAGGAAGCCCTCTGGGGCCTCCCATTTGCTGGCCTCCCAGAGCACTCTGTTGGTTTTGGACCCAGAGCCTCTGAACACGCAGGGAAATCGGATCAGTGATGGAAACCCCCAGCACAGGGAAGCCCAGGGCCAGGTGGCTTCGTGGCTGAATTCCAGCAAACATCTAAAGAGGTAACACCAGGGACGACTAGGTGGCTCAGTCGGTGAAGCGTCTGCCTTCTGCTCAGGTCATGATCCCAGGGTCCCGGGATCAAGTCCCACATCGGGCTCCCTGCTTGGCGGCAGGGAGCCTGCTTCTCCTCTGCCTCTGCCCCTCCCCCTGCTCCTGTTCTTTCTCTCTCTCTGTCAAATAAATACGTAAAATCTTTTTAAAATAAACAAATAGGGCGCCTGGGTGGCTCAGTCGTTAAGCGTCTGCCTTCGGCTCAGGTCATGATCCCGGGGTCCTGGGATCGAGCCCCGCATCGGGCTCCCGGCTCAGCGGGGAGCCTGCTTCTCCCTCTGACCCTCTCCCCTCTCATGTTGTTTCTCTCCTGCGCACTCTCTAATAAATAAATAAATAAATCATCTTTAAAAAAAAATAAACAAATAAATCCTTCTCCCTCTTGGGAAGAAGAAAACTCGGAGCGTCCTAGGGGCTGGTGGGGGAGCTGAGCAGGCCTCCTTCCTGTCAATGCCAGGAGCACGCCCAGTGTGACAGCCCCAGACGTCCCCAGGCATGGCCCCGTGACCCCTGCGGCAGGACCGCCCCTCAGGTGAGCCCCCCCACCCCCCGCCCTGTCCCAAGCCCTCACCCCACTCTCCTCTGAGCACCGACGACCACGGCAATGAGCTTGTGCATCTGTGTTTCGTCGTCTAGCGTCTGTCTTGCCGAGGGCCGTGCATGGGGCCGGGCGCCACCTCCCCTGCCGTGTCCCCGCCGCCCGCCCCGCACCTCAGTCAGGACCTGCTCCTGCACAATGTTCCCCACACACTTGTGCAATCATTGCAGGCACTTCACTGTGGACCGGGTCACCTTTGAGAACCATGTGAAAGCCACGTCTCCCCAGAAAAACCCTCAAGCCCACAAGAAGAACGCATGCGGCGAAGCAGCAGGGGACGGGCGCTCTCTGGGCTGCTCTGTGCGCCCTGGGTCGGAGCCCCTGCCCCACCTGAGCCCCTGGGCCTCACCTTCCCACTCCAGCTCATTGCCGTTCCCCAGGAACTCCAGCGAGTCGGTCTCGTCGGGGGTCTCGATGTCGTCCACGTTGATGTCCAGGTCGTCGGGAGTGTCCAGGAAGTCATCAGACAGCAGGGAACCCTCGCTCTGGTCCAGGGAGATGTTGATCTCCGGGGCGACCAGTGTCTTCCGCTTCCGATGAGCTCCGTTGAAGTTCAACGTGTTGGGAGGGGCTGTGTGGAAAATGGGACAAAATCACCTTCGCTGGTTCTTTCTTTGTCCCCTTTCTTTGTCGCCCCATCATGTGGAATGGTGAGAAGTCAGAGGCCATCCTTTGGGGCAGGCAGGGTTCAATGCTGGAAACTTCCACCCTGCAGACACCTCGACTCTCTAAGCTTGACTTACTTCTACCATCTGCCAGATGGGACTCACACGGGGTGAGCCCCCTGGGCACCCTGCCCGGCTCCGGACCCACCAGGATCTGATCACTGTTGTCTTGGGACACGGGCGGCAGAGAACGCCCCCCATGCTACTTTTCACCTCTCCGTATGTTCGCCGCTTTAATAACTGACACCACGCCACGTGGGCCCGGCCCTCTGCGAAGTGCTTTCATGTTTGCAATATCCATGCGAGGCAAGTTCTGTTATTATCCCCTTCACCACGTGAGCAAACTGAGGCACGGAGGGTGCAGGTCCTTCCGGATCTCTCGGGAGCTGGTCAGGGTGGGCATGCCTCATGGTTTGAACTGCTTTCTCCTGGACGCTCTGAGCTGGGACTCTGGTCTCCTTGTAAAAAGTGGCTTCCCTACCTGCCCCGGGGCTGCCCCCAAGGGGTTGGAGCCGATCCCTCAGCGGGCTGAGCAGAGCTGGACCCTCGGGGGTGACGGAGATTACCTTCCCTGTGAGGAAAGTGCCCCCCTGCTGCCCCCAAGCCAGCTCGAGGGAAAGAGGCTACTCTTCCAGAGACCTTGGGAAGTCACCCCCAGTTTCATCTGCGGACGGTGAGGACAAAATAGCGAGCCAGGGGGAGAGCCCTGCCCCTCTCCCACCAGATGAAGACATTCACCAATCCACAATTACATGCACCAGCTCCTCACTTTTTATTTTCTTTGACTTTCTCTGGCCCTAAGCCACGGGTCAGAGGTGACTGCTTCGTGAGACACTGGGAGGTAGATGACATGATTTCTAGATCTCACCATGACCTGGTGTGGCAAGCCACGTCACCCACTTTACAGATGGGGACACTGAGGCGGTGACTGCCAGGACCACTTGGCTGGCGGGGGCAGCACAGCAGGTGGGGAGTGGTGAGTCAGGGGTGCTTGGTAGAAGCAGGGCTCCCTCTCCCGGAGGGGGCAGAGCTGCATGGTGACAGGGAGCCTGGGGGTGTCCGCATAACACTTCTCCCCAGCAGGGAAGCAAGGCAGAGGTAATGTCTATCCCACGCCTGTCCCACCATCATATGTTGGAAGCAGATAACCTGTCCAGTGTCACATGTTCACAGCTGAAGAGGGTTTGCCCCAGGATGAACCACACCTGAGTCTTCTTCCTCTTAATGGCCCCTGACTGATTAGATGCGGCCCACCCACATTATGGAGTGCAATCTGCTTTACTCAGAGTCTACTCATTTAAATGTTAATCTCATCAAAGAAGTGACTCTCAACAGGAATACCTAGAATAATGCTTGATCACATCTCTGGGTACTGTGGCCCAGCCAAGTGGACACATAAAATTCACCATCACGTCTTCTCCATCTCCTTAACTCAATAAATCTCTTTTGCAAAGTCCCTTTGGCCATGTGGGCGGACATTCGCAGATTCCAGGATTAGGATTTGAATATCTTTGGGGGCTGTTATTCAACCAGCCACACCTAGGAAGTGGGGTACTGTTATTACACACTCTTCATTGTACAGAAGTAGGAAACAGGGGTCCAAAGGGGACGCACCCCTCTCTTAGTGCTGTGTGATGTCAAGGATGTGGCTGTCCCTCTCTGGTCAGTCTTTTCTCAGAAAGGGTGGGCACTGTGATGAGCCACAAGGGGGAAATGCAGGCAGAAGGGGGGCCCCCAGCAGGACTCTGAGGAGATGCCACGGAGAAGAACACATGTTCAGGACAGCTCCTCTGGAACCTTGGAGCCCTGAGCCCTCCTGAGTGCTTAGGGCAACAGAGCCTTCCCAGGGCTAACTTTATGCCTGGCAACCCCTGGGCACTTTATACATGTCACCTCATTAAGTCCTTGCATGCCCCCTTTGGCAGGAAGCTCACTACCTGCATTTAATAGATAAGGACTCGGAGGCACAGAGAGGCTGAACAACCAGCCTCAAGGACACATAGCAACACCACATGCCAGCCTCGTGACCAGGCCCACACGTCTCTCACCCACCCTGGCTGCTTTCCCTCCAGGCTTCCGGGCAGAACAACCCCCCCCTTCCCTGACACTCCACCCAGGAGGTATGGCCTCTGACACGTCTGTAGTCTCAGCCTCAGGCAGAGCGAGATCTGGAAACAGTGCGCCCATTTCTGCACACTGAAGCAGATACTTACAGGACGTGTCTTCCGTGGGGCTGCCAAGTGGGTCCATCCCCGTCTCTTCCTGGAGTGGCCTGCAGACCCGGCCGAGCGCAGACATCAGCCACCGGAGCGCAGGGTGCAAACAAACAGCAACAAGACTCGGTTAGTTCTGGGGAGTCACTGGGACAGAACGCACCTGCTCGTCGGCACAGAAAATCCTAACACATCAGTGCCGGAGGGCTCCCTTCAGATGGTCTCGTGGATATTAAGCTGTTCTTTCCTCCTTTTGGATGCAGAAAGCCAAAGCCCAGAGAGAAGGAGGGTCTCATGCAGTACCGTGTCACAGTTTCACTTTGGAATACAGGCAGTACTTTTCAGGGGTGGCCCAGCAGAGCGTGGTCTCTGATGAATTTTGGCTACTAAATGCTGCAAGAAGTTGTCAAGAAAACACAGTGATCAACCAGAAGAGCTCTCCATGGCCAGCGCCGGAACAGTTCGAGCAACAAAATACATCTTATGAGTCCATAAAGATGTAAATAAATGAATGAATAAATAGGGAAAAGAGGCAAATTTTCTGTGCAGAAGAATTCCAAATAATGTATGTCGATTTCTCTGCCGTCAAGGAGACAGAGAAGGACTCCCTTCTCTGTAAGCGTGGGCTTACAGAGTGTCCCTCTCCAGCCCCAGCATGCAGAGGGGAAGCGAGTGACCAAGAGTGGAGACACCTGACCACCCACCTCAGCCAGGGGACCGAGGCCAACGTCCGCAGTGACAAGCCATGGTGATGGCACGTCCCCTGATGCCATCTCGGGGCACTTGACTCGGGGGTCTTCCTCCCTAAACCCATCCCCCCGGTCTCACCATGAGAAAAACCCCAGACAAATCCAAGGAAGGGGCTTCCTACAAAACCCCTTCCCCGTCCTCCGCACCACTCTCAAGAGGCATCAAACACCAGGGAAGTCTGAGAAACTGTCCCAGCCCGGAGGAGCCCAAGGAGACATGATGACTCCGTGTCACGTGGGAGCCTGGGACGGAAAAGGGACATGGGAGGAAACTGAGGAAATCGGAATAAATTGTGGACTTTGCTGAGAATGTTTCAACATGGGTCTATTAACTGTAACAGATGAACCCTTCTAATACAGGATGTTAATCATAGGACAAGCTGAATGCAGAACATACAGAAACTTTCTGTAATATTCTTGCAAATTTTCTGTAATTCTAAAACTTCTTTTATTTATTTATTTACTTTTTTTTTTTTTTTTTTAGAGAGAGACACAGGTGGGGGGTGAGAAGCAGAGGGAAAGGGAGAGAAGCAGACTCCCCACTAAGGGTGGAGCCCGATGCAGGGCTCGATCTTCTGACCCTGAGACCATGACTTGAGCCAAAATCAAGAGTTGGACACTCAACCGACTGAGCCACCCAGGTGCCCTTGTAAATCTAAAACTTCTAAAAGGTAAAGTTTTGTTTTTTTGTTTTGTTTTTAAGATTTTATTTATTTATTTGACAAAGAGAAATATAGCAAGAGAGGGAACATAAGCAGGGGGAGTGTGAGAGGGAGAAGCAGGTTTCCCGCTGAGCAGGGAGCCCGATGTGGGGCTCGATCCCAGGACCCTGGGATCATGACCTGAGCCGAAGGCAGACGCTTAACCACTGAGCCACCCAGGCGCCCAAAAGTTTTGTTTTTTTAAATAATGCTGCCAACTATGCATTTGTCCCCTTTTAATCCTTGGCTGAGCATGGATTTGCAAAATAAGACTTTTTTTTTCTTTAAAGATTTTGTTTCTTTATTTGAGAGAGAGAGAGAGTGAGCACAAGCAGGGGACGAGCAGAGAGAGAGGGACAAGCTGACTCCACACTGAGCACAGAGCCTGACGCGCGGCTCGATCTCACTTCCCTGAGACCATGACCTGAGCCAAAATCAGGAGTCGGTGCTTAACCGACTGAGCCACCCAGGCGCCCCAAAATAAGACCTTTTTTTTTTTTTCTGGCAATGCCCAGGCCACTTTTGGGAGCGAAAGCTCACGCTGCCTGAGTTTGACCCAGACGCTCCAGCTCCTTTGCTCCCGGGAAATAGTCAACGAGGCAGAACTTTTGCAGAGCGCTCTAGCTCAGGGCATGCTGACTCGGGAAAGCGCTAATTCACCCCTGTGACCCAGCAGCGCCAGCAGGGCTGAATGGGGAGCTGTTCAGGAGAGGAGGGCATGGAGTGATGGAATGCATTTTCCTCTCCTTTTGAAAACCATTCATTCCCTCGCTGCCTCTGTTCCTCTCAAGGCTGGTGCCCTTCTTCCTCTGCTCCCCTTCCTCCCACTCATCAAACCTCCAGTGTTCCTTGAGCAACCACTACCCCCCAGGCGCAGTGGAGGGTCTGGGGGGTAAGGGAAGAATGGGACCTCACTCTGCTCCCATGCAGCTCAAAGGTCCACACTGAACAGGCCCACAGGAAGTGAAGACACGTGTCCACACAAAAGCTCACACCCCGTGTTCATAGCGACATGATTCACAGCAGCCAAAACGTGGAAACACTCCAAATGCCCATCGACAGATCGCGACACATCGACCTCAAGCAGGAGTGCGGCGCCCACACGCGCTGCCCGGGGACGGACCTGAGCCCACGACGCTCAGGGAAGGAAGCAGACACGGAAGGCCACATGGGGTGTGAGTCCACGTGGGTGACACGTCCAGATCAGGCTCATCCACGGACGGGAAGGGGGCTCATGGGGGCTGGGGGTGGGGAGATGGGGTAACAAGTGGCTGCCGAGGGGGACGAGGTCTCATTTTGGGGTGATGGAATGTTCTGGAACTAGAGAGAGGTGGGGGCTGCACAACATCGTTAATGTACCAAATGCCACTGAGTGGTGCACTTAAGACCGTTGCTTTCACGCTCCGGGAATTTTCCCTCACTTAAAAGAAAAACAAGCTTAGGGCGCCTGGGTGGCTCAGATGGTTAAGCGTCTGCCTTCGGCTCAGGTCATGATCTCGGGGTCTTGGGATCGAGTCCCGCATCGGGCTCCCTGCTCCTTGGGAGCCTGCTTCTCCCTTTGCCTCTCTCTCTCTCTCTCTCTCTGTCTCTCATGAATAAATAAATTAAAAATCTTAAAAAAAAAAAAACAAGCTTGGAATAAAGTCAGAAGAGGCAGACGGGGCTGACGAGCCAACGTACAGGCCCGTTTCGTGTCCCTACTGCTCCCTGTTGTCTGGGGCTCTCAACATGGGTGACTCATGAAGGAGTCCAGGGCCCCGGAGCCCCGGAAACACGCCCGCCACCTGCCAGGTTACCCCAAACTGCAGACTGACGGTGGAGGCGCCTCCTCTAGTTTTGTCCTGCCCACGCAGCATTTAAAAACATTTTAGGTTTGCTGTCAAATCAGAGACGTGACACAAAAGCTTTGGATTTCTGTCTTTTCTTCAACCACGGACCTGCCCCCTGTGGCAGCCACCCACCAGGAGCGGATTGTGGGCCACTCCTGCTCCCCTGGTGCTGGAATGTTGTTCTGGCTCCTTCTAGCATGTCCACTGCCTGCCCGGCGCCCATTGATGTCTCTGGCTGCCATTCCTGGTCTGGAATCTAACTTACCCCATGGGCAGGGCACTCCCTGCGTGCCGGCTCGGGATGTTCATGGCATGATCTTACTTGCTCCTCACAGCACTCCTAGCAGGCAGGGAGGAGCCCACTGCACAGAGGAGGAAACTGAGGCTGGCCTTGGGACTCCCTGGGGGGAGGGGAGCAGGAACCACCCAGTGGCGAGCTGATTCTAGTCATTGCTCTCTACCGCCCCCTTGTGCTCGTTCAGCACACGTGCACCGACCCCAGTGGGACATCGGAAAAATCCATGGGCCTGGGCACCCGGTCCTCCGTCCAGCCAGGGGTCCTCTGGACCCCCTGTCCTGCCACCATCTCCCCCCTCCCCCACCGGAAGGAAGCTGCGCTGTTTTGCAGCCCGGGCTGTCTGGTTCCTATCAGGATGTGATTCAGCTTCCCAACCCTGGACGGGTCCACGTAAAGCCACAACCAAGCGAAACGTGGCCCGGCGGCAGCTGAAACGTCCAGGTGGGGAAAGCATCCAGCTGCTCGGTGCAGACGGGGAAACTGAGGCCCCAGGGAGACAGAGCGATGTCTGAGAGAACCTGGAAGCACAGTCCCACTCTTCTACTTTGCAGTGCAACTCACGTGGGTGGTACCCTTCCTGCTCTGAGCCGGTTTCCCTCCTCTGTAAAATGGGAACAGAACTAGCACCTCCTTTTCACTGAGTTAACAAATGCACGTTGGGTGTTGGGGCTCTGGGCTACATCCCCATCCTGTGCGGAGTGAGGACAGATCCCTGGCCACGGTTAGTCGATCAAACACCATCCAGGTGTTGCTGTCAAGGTGTTTGGTAGACGGACATCCACAACGCTGGGACGTTAAGGAAAAGACACTCTACGCGACAATGTGGGTCTCCTGCCACCGAAAGGCATCGAGGTTTCCCCGAAGAAGAAGCAACTCTGCCTCCGGCCAATGGTGCCACCAGAGCGTGCCCCGTGCATTTCAGACCCGCCCGTCCCCGTCTCTGTCCCCACGGGGTGTGAGCCGCTGCCTTGGAGTAAGTCCTGTGCGTGGAAAATACACCTACTCCGGGCGCCTGGGCGGCTCAGTGAGTGAGCGTCTGACTCTTGATTGCGGCTCAGGTCGTGATCTCGGGGTCGTGAGATCTGCACTCAGCACAGAGTCTGCTTGAGATTCTCCCTCTCCCTCTGCCCTCGCCCTGCTTACTCTCTCAAAATAAATAAACTCATGTACAAAATAATATAGAAGGTATCTAATATAGTCTATATATTACATGTAAAAGACATCTATAATTATATATACAATTATATGTAATTGCACATAATTGTATGTATAACACAAAAGTACAATAATTGTATAATATATATTAATAAAGAATGTGTAAATTAATAAATACAGTAACACAAACATAAATAATTTCTTTTTTTAAAAGGTTCTTAATTTATGTGTTTGACAGAGAGAGAGCACAAGCAGGGGGAGTGGCAGGCAGAGGGAGAAGCAGGCTCCCCGCTGAGCCAGGAGCCGGATGCAGGACTGGATCCCAGG